ATATATATATATATATATATATATATATATATATTCAAAAAAGATATTATTAAAAAAAACATATACATTTCCACAAAAAACTTTGTATCTCCAAAGTATATTTTGATTTTTTGCTTCTTCTAACTTTTCAAGATCCTTCAATTTTTCTTCATTTACTGATCCTCTTGGTAGCTTTCCCACTATACAACAACAATAAAAAATTAAAATTAAAAAAAAGAAGAAGAAAAGGGTGTTTAAATCAATCAAATATATATATGTGTATAGAATTACACTTACTTGGTGTTATAACATAATCTTTACATATGTTATTAGAAGCATAAAGAATAACAATAGTAATTGAGTGAGGACTCCATCTTTTGAGTGCCCATTGTAAGGTTAAAAAACCATCATGTATATCTGAATTTATTGCTACATATACCTTGTTATTTCTCTCCATCTCTATAGCCATGGCTAAGAAATTAAGTTAAAAAACTATATATTATATTTGTGTGGTAATTTTATAAGTCATGAAAAAGTATATAGTGTGAAGCACATGTGAGGAGAAAGTATATATAGGTTTGAAAAAAATAACCTATGGTTTTTTTTTGAAGATTTTGTGTGTGATTTCTTGAGTGGATGATTTTTAAAAGGAAATTGAATATTTGATGTGGCAAGACTCAAGACAACAAATTTTGGTCCTTTTTTTTCCCTTTTGGTAAGTAACATTTTTGGTCCTTTGATTATTGATGAAATTTGATTTTTATTCTTATGATATTTGACTGAGCATATTTGATTAAAAGTTTAGTCGAAATGTGCACTTTAGATCCAATTGTCATGCAATGTGTATTTTAGAAAACGTCTATTCTCGAGAAGATAAGAATATAGTTGGTGTATCTTTTTTTTTACTCTATTTATGGGATATTATTGAATATGTTGTTGTTCGTGAATCTTCGCAAATTTATCATGATTATTCATTGTTCTACTAATTTTATCCTACTCACGGCTAGATCGAACGATTTCGGATCAAGTAAAAGGAGCTAAAAGATTCTAGCTTTGGAAAGTGAGGACCACTTACGCACTCCATTTACCTATTGGTGCTAGATTAAAATCCTTATCGAGTCAAAAAAAATAATGAATCGTAAAATTAAGTATTTATCTTACTTATATGTTAAATTTATATAACGTTTATCTAGTATTAGGCAATAACATAATCTTAAAAAATAGACTAAATATAACATATATTTCTTTTAAAGGGGACCAAAGCACTCATTTTAATATGCTAATCATACATCATTTGGACTAAGAGTAAATTTATAAATAACTTAAGGGGGCAATAATGTTATTATCTTTTATTTTGGACTTTTTAGTTTAGGATTTTAGCCGATGATAGCAAAGATGGGGCCATATTGATTGGTATCTTACGAATACTCCTAGTTTGGTCGATGAATAAGTTATTATATAATTATTTGTTTCGAAATTAATTATTTTTAAATTATTATATATAAAAATAATATTATAATTTTAAGATAACTAATTTCAAAATAAATTATATTATTTAATTTATCATAATTAAATATGAGACGATGAATATCAATTACCATCAATCAAATAAGTGATTTTCGCACTGATTAAGAATTCCAACTACCCCATAAATTGAAAATTTATCTATTTAAAATTAATTATTCTTTATTCTTTATTCTTTATTCTTCACGTCAATCGAGCTCTTCGATTAAAAGAATTTTATTGGTAATTACATTTAATGTGATTAGTTAAAAGGAAAAAGAAAGAAGATTGACTCTATGACATTTGATATATAATGCATATCCGAGGATATTCTTTGCGGGTAATTTACACTAAATGTTAATTAATGAAAACTATACTTTTATATTTTGGTGCGACTACAAGGACAAGTTTGTTTGACACGACAATTTATTTGTACCAGATATTTATATAAGATGAAAGAAATATAAAGCATGAATTTTTTGTATAGGTAGTTATCAAATAAAGGTTTTTTTCTACCGCAGAGTATCATTTTTTAAAAATCATTTTTATTAATTTAGCTCACTGAAAAAATTCATGATAAAAAATACTTCCTTCGTTCGAAATTGTTTGTCATGTTACGCTTATCGAAAGTCAATTTGACTAATTTTCAAAGATAAATTAGATCATATTAATTTGATATTTTAAACAAAAAAATTATATATTCTAAAACTATATAAAAAGTACTATAAATTACAATTTTTTACATATTAATATGATGAAAAAATGTATCTTAAAATGTTAGTCAAAGTTTATAATTTGACTCTAAAAATAGAAATTATGACAAATAATACTGGACAAATGTTAGTTAAAGTTTTTATATGTATGAGTACCTGTCTTGTTTGTAAGTGTAATGCCTTATTTGAACTCATCCTATATGTCTTTAAAATTTGATTATAATGTGTTAATCTATTATTTACTTTTACGATAGAAAGATGATAAAAATGTACTTTTTCTTTGTTTTATCAGATCATCATCGCTTGTTATAATATCTTGTCGTTGATCATAAATAATAATATAGTCTATCGTCTTTATATTTGTCAATTTACATTTACTTTTTTTGTTAGAAAGTTGATAAAAAAACATACTTTTTTCATTGTATTGTCGAATCATCGATAATTCAAGTTTGATCTTAAATATTTATCTCTTATTAACATTTTGTCGTTGATCATAGATAGTAATCGAGTTTATCGTCTTTACACTTGTAACTTTATATTTACTTTTTCGATATAGAGATGACAAAAGAACGTACTTTTCTTTGTATATATTGTTGTTCAGTTGATTTAAGTTTAATCTAAATTTATTTTTTATTAATATCTTGTCACTGGTCATAAATAGTATAATGATCGAATATGTCGTCCTTATATTTGTAAGTTTGTATTGATATAGTTAATTTACTGTAATCACGAATTTACGTGTGACATATTATCTTTAGCTTCCAAGTATTTCGACTTGAAATCAATTTGCTCCATTTTAGTAATGTTAATGTAACTAAAACGGATTTGATATAAAATTAGAAGAGCATTTTCTTGACGGTTAAATTTTAAAAAAATAATACTAATGAATATGTTATTGATTAGGTTATCGATTTAGCATGTTTACAAATAAAAAATAGATTAAAAAAATAATAATATATAAAATCAAACCAAATCAACGTACACCTACTTATTAAACAATACTATATTTTATTCGTAATTTTATCACATTGTAATAAATGTAATGTAATGTTTTAAAACAATATTAAAATAACTTATTTTAAAATCTTATAAACTTAATTTTTTTAATCGATAAAATATGAGACAATTTAATATCTTTCAAATATTTTTGTAAGATTGCAAAGAACATCAAGGGGGTGTAGCTCATATGGTAGAGCGCTCGCTTCGCATGCGAGAGGCACGGGGTTCGATTCCCCGCACCTCCATTTTATTTTATTTTATTAATAAATAAAATAATGTTTTTACCAAAATTATTATAATTTTATCCTTTTTACCAATTTTAATATATAGTCAAGTGCATTTATTTTTATTTTCTGAAAATTATACGAGGCAAGTTCTTGTACTCCATTCTTTTTTATAAATAATACCAAATTATTATAATTTTATTCTTTTTACCAATATTAATATATAGTCAAGTGCATTTATTTTTATTTGCTGAAAATTATATGTGGCAAGTTCTTGTACTCCAAGCAAAGTTTATCCTTTTTGTGTAACTAACTTTTTTCTTTCCTCTTTTAATAAAAAGAAATGTATCTTCAATCAACTATCAAGTTAAAAATATATATTTATGTATATATCTTAATTTGTCAGAAAATAATGAAGATGTTTCAATTGAGCATTTAGATACACGATAAAGTGTTCATGTTAAACATTTTCGCTTCAAATTTATTGAAAAACCTTTTCATGTGTTATCAAATGTAAAGTATTAAATATGTTATCTCATTTAACTATACACTCAACATTAATTGGAGCAGATTAAGGTTCTACCACTTATTGAGGCTAATAATTAATTATAATTAAATTTTTTAAAAAAAAACATATTTTAAGTAGAGTTCTTTTGTCTACCTAACAGGCGATTGAATGAAACTTTTTCAATTTTTTAGTTGGAAATTTCTAATAGAAACAATGTATTATATGATGAGTTTAACGAGCTCGATGTGATACTATTTATTTTTTATAGTAGATATATAAGAAACGCGTATCTTTGTATCTAAAAAACCGCCAATACTAGCCAACAATTTCGTCGAAAAATTACGTTATATATAGTGATTAAATTTGGGCTTTTAAATAAAATGGTGGAGAAGTTGAACTTCAGGGTACTCTATTGGGCCCATATCTGCCATAAAGTCCATTGTCATATAAATGGATGGCCCATAATACAGTTTCATAAGGCCCAATAACTCAGTTCAACAAGAAAATCAAGCCATAAATCATGAAGTTTATTAGGTAAATCGTGTCAATCTAACTAAAAAAATACATACATTGCAAAATATTATAAATGTATTTCTTAGTGAGAAATTAAAGTAAATAATCGTCCGTTCAAAAAAATAATATATATTTTGTGCATGTAAATATTTTTGACAGAATAGTCAAATGTGTAACTTTTCGTTTTTTAATAGCGAAATTGAAAATTCCCATCAAGATAGACTGACATAGAACTAGGAAAATCTTCTCCACATTAGATTTATGTCCATCTTAAATTCTATTGGTATTATTATGTCAAAACCTTATTCTTAAAATGATATTATTAAATTACAAATTGGTTAAGAATTTTTTAACATCTTTGATAATTTTAATGTAATCCTAATTTTTGTAATTGAAAAATATTATTGGATCGGGTCCATTCATAAGGGTATCAATCAACACATTACCTTGTCGTCCTTCTATATCCTACTTATAAATATAATTGTATCCTGATACGTGTTTAAACAAAGTTTTTTTATTGCAATATGTTAGATAAAGTAGGAAAGATGAAAAAATAAAAATTTCTTTATTCGTCATAACTTGAACTCAATTCACATTTCTTATTCAAACACTCTACACTAAACTCAATAAAGGTTCCACATTCAATCAATAGGTGTTATATATAATTGACGATTAACTTAGTAAGTCAACATCACCACTTTAGGAAAATAACTTCGTTATTCTCCTAGCTATCAATTTGTTCATATTAATTTACCATAGTCGATAAAAAAATCAGTATCATGATCAGCTACAGACTTAAAGTAGACCTAAATAATGAACTTTTTACTTTGACATATGTGATTAAAGTCAAACTATAAAGAAAAACTTATTTACAACCTGATTAAAAATCCATAAATTATAAAAACAAAAAAAATTCTTCATTTCATGAGAATTTTTAACTATCAATAACTCACCTCATTCATTTGTGCAAAGAATATAATCTAATCTCTTTACCAAGTACTTATAATGAAATACCATAGTCATGATACTAAAATAAATCTATGAAATTCCATGGCCTTTATATAAATGTGGGACCTCTAATCTATAATAATACAATGAATCCAAATTCTTGTATTGTCACTTAGTTAAATG